CCCCGATGCTTACCGAACGCCCCGTAACTATTACGCGCATAAAAGTCCTTAAACGCCTTTCTAATGTAAAAGCACGTGTCACAGTCAGTCCCAAAATTGACATGACCTGGCAGTACAGAAGGGAGGGTGCACCACGTGTCCCAATAGAATAACCCGGGGTGAATGTACGCCCCGTTATATTATACCACCGTAAATATAGAACGCCACCCTGCTACGGGCTTCGGCCATAAGGTGACGCTATACGGGTTTTACTATAAGACGGAACAAGCCTGACTAAAGTCTGTTCTGCTTTTTTATTATCGCCTTGGCGACTGCTCGATCTGTCAGAGATATCTCTTTAATTAGACACATAAAAAGATAGGAAGGCTCCAAAATGTCTGGGAACAAGAATCTATACCTCATATAAAAAAAAATTATTTAAATTATTACAAAATTAAAAAAGTTTTATCGATATCCCCGTATACATACATACGTATGTACACGGTACCTGCATATGACGTATACCTCAGCCAATGCAGGCTGACTCAACGTACATCCCTAAGTGAATCCCTGATACTGCCTGACGCTGCCTGACGCTGTCTGACGCGAACAACTGTCTCGAGGTTAAAGCTCCACTTGTCTTAGCTCAAGATTAGTTGACGTAGGTTCGAAAAAAAGAAAAAAGAATTTGATGGGTTCAAAGAGAGATGGGACTATACACGTGATACACCCTCGCCCTTGCATAAGGCCAGTGCATATGACCCGATGATTTTTTGTTACCAAATCGTTCCTGTACCGAAACACGTGTTTAACGTTACGTACGAAAGTATTTACCACCGTGTATGTAGAACAGCTGATACTGAAATTGAGAATCTGGAAGGAATATGACGTGTGCTTAGTCTCATCGGAAAGCGTATGGCGCGTAAGGCGATAGAATTTGTATCTGATATTTTCTTGTGAACGGAGCCTTACCTCCGTGGTAAGAACGGAACTTTTCAGAAGTCAGGCACGACGTGTCATTTTCCGCGCGTAAATATTGCTCCGTCGATAATCTTCGACTGTATCTATATGCGCGACCCAGGCAGTTCGTTGTTTGTACTGTGCATTATCGTTTTTCCCTACTGCCACGTTATCAGCTGGGAAAAACTTTCCAATTAACCAGAAACCAAATACGGCCCACTTGGTCTGTTCCAGATGGTCGACAGAAGTGTCCTTGGCTTGGGTCACTGTCCACGTGAATTCTCATTGTCCAACGTTGCCTGTGTAGAATTTCGTTTCTTCACGTTGGTATACTGTCCTGAAATGACATAAAGACAATATATATGACTGGTGAGTAATTTTTTCAGTAATAAAATGTACGCTGTGTATTTTCATTTTTTTTTTCATGCATTTTCTTGTTATTTCATAGGGAAATTTTTGTTATGGGTTTTTTTCTTTTTTAATTTTGAACAGAGCCAATTACACTGTTGGTTCTAGGAACAAAATTTTTAGGTTATCTCGAACAATGTATTATCAGGTAGACAAGTATGCTGTATGTAAGAACGAAAAATAAATTACTAGTTGCCAGCTAATTAGTTGTCACTGTCTCGGGACGATCTTATCGTCGTTAACGAGAACCCAAAATAAAGTAAAAACCAAAAATTCGGATTTCCGGTTGGAAATATTTGAAAATTGAAACTGCGTAATACGGCCTTGAATAAATGATTTTTTAAATTTATTTTTGGATATAGAAATTCCAAAGTATTTCGAAATTTCATTGAAATTCCTAGAATTCCGTTTTTTTTTTCAAATTTCTTTTTTCCCTCGGATCTATACTTGTTATCCCGTAGAGAGTCGAATCCAGTCGGATTCACGATTTTCGATGACTATCCGTTTGCCTTTGTTTTCACGTCAAATATTAGCGTTCAACGTATATACATAAACCATCCGAGACAGCTATGCCCACCTTGGTCGCGTTCCTTCGTGACGGACAGAAGAAACGTAGAAGACGAGCAAACAGTCCCGAACACGTCATATACCCCCCGGCTTATTTCCATTATGGAAGATTTTGCCCTTTCCGGTAAACAACTGTTAGCAGGCGAGTGTTAATACTCGAATTCCCATATGGGTATTGTAATTATATAACATCGTAGATACAAGTTCGTCGTTGGGCTGTTTTGGAGACGGTTTCATTAACGTATTGGCTATTTTGAGGTCTGTCCTCGAAGAATTTTCAGCGCAACGGCTGTTTTGAGACACGAAGCAAGATATAAAATTCATAGTACATTTTTTCAACGCGAGACCTCAAACTATACGATCGACAAGTTTATATATGTATATATATGACAATATTTGTAAATGCAATTCACGTTAATCAAATTTTCATTTCTCGTTGATCCTAACTCGTGACTAATTCGATGCTCGTTGTTTGCCAAAATCTCATGACCTCGTGTTATCTCTTTTCTTAACTCTTTCTCTCTCTCGCTCTCTCTCTCTCTCTCTTTGACAAGTTTCAAATATTGACCGTAGTTTTCCGCTTCGTCGATTCATTAACGCCATATGCTTTGCTGGGTTCAATAATTCCATGTCGTATCCACGTATATTACAAGATGCGAATTTAGCGATGAGATGAATTTCGCGAGATCTCTCTCGGAGATGTATACAATAATCAAATAAATTTTTTAAAATTCGCTACAGTCCCAGAAATTCGATTCTACAGAGATCGACGAGACCAGATAAACCGTTATCAACGAAACCGCGAATTAACGACGTTAATAAATTACAGATAAAAAAAAACATATTTAGATACGATTAAAATAAGATTTTTGCCAGTTGCAAAAAAAAAAATCCCTATAACCTGTGCACATATGTAGTAAAACGCTTAAACGTAATGAGAGACCATAAAAGTTAGCCAGCCGTGAGTATACTCATATATATATATACACACATTATCCAGATATGCACGTAAATATATGTACGCGTGCTTAAAGTCGGCTCGGCAGTTAATTATCTGGTGGATCGTAGAGCCCATAAAACGTATCACGAATTCATAAGGTTAATTGCTTATTTGTAATGCGCGCCACTTTTGTTACTCGCCGCGCGCGCGATCTGGCGGCCGCCAGGTGAAACTGGCTTCCATATCGTCTAAGCGCAAATCGACGGTATTATACATCGTTATTATGGACTGACCTTCCCAGTGCCGGGATTCCTCTAGGTATGTTGCTGGATCGTGACGGAATGCTAATGAGGACAATAGGCTGAGTTCGCTAACGATGACGACGAGAACAGCGAGGATGAAGGAACATTAACGATCATAAGGGTAAGCCTTTAGCCACTCCCGACGGACGATGCACTTTAACCTTAAAGGTTATGAAAACTTGGTGACTTCGTTTGGAAATCACTAGGGTGCCTTTTGAATAGGTATAAAATTCCCCAGGGGTAGGTAGGGCTCGTGTCGGTAACGTTGAAATCTGCATATATAATTTATTTATTTTTAACCTCAATTTTCTTTTTTTTTTACCTACCGAGGGGGTTGCCTATCTCTCGTATCGTGAACACAGGAGGAGCGAAGTGAACGCGAGTCAAAAAAACACGTGGAATGCAGCCAAGCCAACTGGCTCTGTTCGGTAACAGGGATTCCTTTCATCTCGTGGGGTTTCTACTTTGTGGAGTGGAGAGCTGGGGTGGGACGGAGAAAAAAATAGGGGAAAAAGAAGAAACGACTGACGACCCCATGATGCCCCGTGACAGGCTGCTTCCACGGAGTCTCACCGTCCTATCGCCAACTCCAGAGAAATCTTCGGGCTGCCTGTATTGTTTCAGCTGCTTCGAGAGGAGTCTCTCCTCTTCGGGGATTTAACGTGGGGATTGGATATGGGTCTTTGGCATGGTGTAAGACCTCTTGTGGGGTATGGTCTTGACTACCAATTTTTTTTTTGCTTCTTGGTACAGTTCGATCTTTCTTATTGATATAGGAGAAAAAAAGTCCCTAGGAATTTAGATGCCCTTAGGTGCTGATACTGGAAAAAATTTTTTTACTGAATCGAGGTGAAATGAATTTTTTTTTTTAACAAAATTTCGGTTATGATATATATGACAGATTAATTAGGGTTGATAAAGATAATACGTTTTCTAAAAATTTTCCAAAAAAATATCGTCAATTTATTTAATTATTTTTCTTAAAATAAAATCATAAGTCACCATGTAGATTTATTTTTTTAATTTATTCCAAATCGAATTATACCTTATTCCAGTTTGTAACTTTATAACGTGATTTGAATTGGTTAGGCTGAAAAGTCCAATACAAATCGACAGGCAGTCAGCCATATATCCAATGTATGCATGCAGGTTGTCCAGCCATCCAGACGCCGTGCGGAATAATAATCATTAATGGCGTGTTCGCAATGTAATGACTGTTTGATGTCTCCCCCTGGTATAATAATAATATTACTGGCGACACGACGAAACGATATGGAATCCGCGTGCGTAATAGGAGGCGTAAAGCTCCGTGAGAATTTTATATATAATTTAACCTTCCACTGTAATTCGAATATATTGCAATAGCGATTGGTAAGCATGATTAGAATTTTTTTTAAGACTCCAAAGAAATATGGAATCCAAATTTCAGGAAGATACGATCCAACGAAATTTTTCAAAATCTTCGACCAGCTGATTTTTTTTTTAATTTCCCAAATATATATAAATCCTTTAGCTTCCCTTCTTACACAAATACTCCAACCTTCTAATAATACTACCGAGTTCACAGTCGGAAACGGAAGTCAGCTGACAGCTGGTTCCCGCGGCAAAACTCTGAAGTTACGAACAGCCAGTTAGCCGGCAGCACGTGATTTACGTTAACAGTGAGCACGCGACCGCAACTTAAAGTTTCCCCCCCGATTCTCATGTAAATGACCCAAAAAAAAGAGTGAACGAGAAAAATAAAATTTTCCAAAAATTCCAAAATCAAAATTCCAAAAATAACGTATCCAACAAGTGGAAGACCCGGTGAAGAAAAATGTATCCACTTAAGAAAAAATCATATCGTCCGACCCACGTTGCCCAAAATTTCGTTTTTCTGTCTGTTCCCATGAAAAACTAGACCGAAAAAAAAAAACAAAAAAAAAATTAGCGCACTTGAAACTGGCTCCAAAATTTTCGAGCAAACCATACCAATTTCGCCCGTGGTAACGTCTAGTGTCTAGACTGATGCACTTATGGCAATTTGTAACCCATAGCGAGAACTTGAGTATACCGGGTGTGTCTCTACTCGAGTATCCCGACCGCAGTAAACGGTAGATTATCGCAGACTATAAGAAGCGTACGACTGCGCGAGGTCTAAGTTGCTCAGGGTGGTCCGTCCGGTCGCCAAGTAAATGACTGAAGCAACTCCAGAAATTGGTTCAAGAGGTTCAAGAGAAAGAAAAAAAAGAAAGTAAGACACTTTCTTTCTCACTCTGAGTAAAAGTACCCACCTTTACTTTACAGGGTTAAGTAACCACTTTCCCAAGGGTCAAATTACTTGAGACAGTAGGGTACCTAACCTAACCTAACCTAACTCAAGCTCTAGGTACGTCGCCGCAGGAATGAAGATTCACATTGGTCCACTGAATATTCAGAAGCTTCAGGGCAAAATGTATAGGGCTCATGGCGGATGGGCATTTGGCTTCTATATTTAAAGTAAGGTCACTGTGTTATACATACGTATATACATTGCATTATACTATACCAAAATGTATCATACTATACCTATATCTACCTGACTCACTCGGTATACAGACTCGTACATACTTTTCCAAGATAGTGTACTTGCTTATGCACGCATTCACGTCTCCCTCGTTCTCTAACATTCATCCTTGTGCTTTAAAGATAAAGTAGCATAATGATACCGGCCAAGATATCCAAGAGAGGAGTTGTGCTTGGTTCGCCGTGTATACGTAACTTATCCCTTAACGAACCATAGAGCTTTATCTTCATCTCTCGATTACGTTAATCTCGTTGGGTCTCTTCTCTTTTTTTTTTTTAATCAAGATAACCATATAGATATATAATACATAGCAAAATTAAATGGGTGTATTTTTGGGGTTGGTGAAAATTTTTCTTTTTTTTTTTGAAAAATTTCATTAAATTTTTCCCATCAGAATACATTCTTGGAAAATTCTTTCATTCTTGGAAAATGTATTTTTGTGTATATCATTGCCACAAAAGTTTTAGAAATGCGATAAATTTGGGTAAAAAATTTTTGGTTATCTTGAATTTTCATATGGCGAACCACGGGTTATTCTTATTTGTTGGTACTTCGGATTAGTTAGTTCAAGAGAGATAAGTAATATGGACGTGCCTTAAATTTTGAGGGCGCAGGTGTCGCGCATTCCTTCCTTATACAACACACTGCATGCTGACAAGACGTCGGTTCGACTCGGGACTCTGGTTTCTTTTTTTTTCTTTTCTCTTCTCTCGTCTTCTTACTCCTCTTCTTTCGCAGGAATAGCCGACGATAAACAGTCTCTGGCCTCCGGGGAATATTCCAGCCCTCGTACAAACACAGCCTGGTTCCTTTCTGATGAGACCGATCCGGGACCTGTTCGACACCAGAACAACACGGGGACTATATAGATATGACAGTGTTTTCTCGATATAATTTGTATTAGTAATTTTCTCAAAATTTTTTTTTTCATTAAAAACATTGTTTTTCTGTTTGAAAAATAAAATTTTTTAAAATAAATTTTTCGTAGGGCGTACACAGATATTTTGAAAAGACCTGTAGCTAAGGTCCTGCGAACGCACGTGGGTATTACAAGGCACCTTCGTTCCTTGGAATCAATCTACGATTCCTATTGTCAATCGGGTTTCAATTAGCCATGCTTCTAGAAAACCGGCCGATTTCACCTGTTTGTTCCTCGCTCGACGTACAAGGCAAAAAAAGATAACAGAAGAAAAGCAAGAAAGATAACAAAGCCACGACACAGCCTCTTTTTCTCATTACATTGAACTTGAGGTCCAGGAAGATTCAGACGGAAATTCGATTTTTTTTATTTCCAATATTTTTTCACCCCGTCACAGTTTCTACCAGTGAAAATTATTTTTAGGTTTTTTTGGATAAAAATTTTTTTTTCGAAAAAATTTCAATATCTCACTTTCATTTTTCTTACCGTCCAATAACTCAATCCTTAAACGAACTCCATCACGATCTTATGCCGTTAACGGTTTCGGTTTTACGATCTTACCCAAAAACGGTATTCGGGTAAATTCGTCCGAATGGCTCTCCCTATGTACAAGCGACTCTTTGTCAATGTACAAATTCTTGGCAGCTGTAGTGTCCAGGGATTACACGATTAAGCTATCTCGTATGGGCTGGTACCGTGGAAAGTGCTGTTTGGGAAATTTTCCTGAGTGCAGATGTCCGCCATACCGCAAAATACCCAGAACCGTATTACGGTCTGCGTATATATGTACAGGCATACAAACAATATATCAACATGTTCGACACGTTTGCTACAACAGTAGGAACAATGTCCAGCAAGCATACGGTGAACATTCGTGCACTGAACATATATATATTTTTTGTCCGAAACTTGTAAAAATACACGTGTCCCACGGGGAAGCTGTCCTTCTCGCTATTTTCGCAAGGACTCCTCTCGTGCGTAATTACGGCCGAAGGACGCTCTTTAAAGGTACGAGGGTAACATGTACATTTTTTCTCTCTAGCTTCCTCGTGAGAACGAAGCCGAGCGAATATAAATAAAATTCAAGAGCGAACGATTTAAAAAAATAATTTTTATAACTAACGGTACACCCGGTATAAAAATCTTATATCCGCCCATTGATATTTAAGTATAATTAAAAAGAAATTCGCACGATCTATCTTATCCTAGTTAGAATACAAAAAATTATACGTATATATATATCCAGGCATCCGTGAACCCGAGTATATCGAATATCCAGGCTAATCGTCATCTCAAGTATCCCATAATTCCTGAGACGCCGTCTCGATGCGAATCACCATAATAAATAAGGTAAGGTTCGCATAAGTTTCCGACGTAAGGTTCGATTAATCCTGTACAATATAAACCAGTATAATATCCAGCGCTATTAATCCCGAGAAAAAAAGAAGGTGAAAAAGCATCCCAATAAGATATCCTAGTCGCATAATAGTAAATGGCCCTTCAAGCATAGGCGTCGTCGTTCCCGTTGCCATATCTCATATTATATCCAATGGCTTTCAGGGTATTATCCCACTCAGCGGCGATACTCTCCCGTCCATACGAAATAAAGACGCGTATATCGTAAAAGTATGGCTGCACTACGTGTGCTATCTGAGTTCAAGGAAGGAACCTTAACGTTAGTAGGTATAGAGGTGGGTGGGCAAGTATCAACCCAAGTGGCGGCACAGAGGCCGAACTAACTCTTGGACGGCTGGCGCCGTTCTGTCGCCTCCCTCGAGCAGCCGCGCCAACAATGCATGCAGCGCCCCCGTTCCCCCACTCCGCGGCAGTTCGCATTACTACACTTGAAAAAGGTTTACCCCCACCACACTGGCCGACGGGTCGGGACAGGACTGTCGCTGCTCTACCGTACAGGCTTGAATTGTGGGATTGCACTGGCACCATCAGACTATTCAGGCAGCCGGCAAAGTACTCAGGCATCCAAGTAGGCAGGCAGGCAAGCAGCGACAAGCAGACAGACAAACCAGCCAGTCAGGCTCCAGTCACGTTGGGCACGAAGCGGCGCCCGTCCGCACCAGTCAAGTCAGTCTGTTGCCGAACACGACCGAGTGCGGACGTACTCGAGCGCTCCGAAGTTTATCGTTGAATCCGTTGCCTTTAATTTTAACGAGCGTCGACGTATACCTTGCTCGTGAAACAAAGTTTTTTTATTCTCAATCGAACAAACGTGCTTCGAGAACTATTATGACGGCTGGACCCAACCGAGCAGCTTTAGTTTTGTGATTCTTTTACCTTCTCGAAAGGAACTGTGTTGTTTTGGATTTACGATACTGGATCCTGGACTGCTGCGGGTCGCGTTGTGATCTTTGGATTATAAAAAGGATTGTTGTGACTCGTACCTGGGTGCTCCCGAGGAATTAAGGACGGTGGTACACACCGATAACTACGAAACTGTGCTTCTTTTATTTAACATTAGTTTTTCATCGGATCTTCGATATTGTGATTTCTGTGCGTGGGTACCGGATGCGAGGATGAGCGCACACGTGGTGGAGTCGACTAGCGAGTTCTCCGCTTTTATGAAAGGTGATTTGAAGTTTTATATATTACATAAATAATTGAACTGTCAGGCGAAATTCAAAATCCTGTTAGATGAAAAAAAAAAAGAAAAAACCTTTCTCACCGCGGAACTCGGTGTATTTTATCAAAATTTTGAAACATCCATCCAACTTCTATCTGTATCCTAACGAACCACTTGAAAATATTCAATATTTAAGGGGTTAGCTTAAACTTCTATCAGATTCCCATACTTCACTCTTGCTTCGATACCTTCTTCACTTCCAAGTCGATACCATCAGTCTCCTCGCCAACAACACTAATCTCCATTCCCATAGCCCGTTCTCAAACCATCCAACCAACAACACTATAACCGAAAATGGAGAAAAAATTTTGAAACCGCATCAAGAAAAAGTATCGAAGAAAAATAAACAAAGATCCGTAAACTTCCAAGAGATTCGCACAAACAGTAGTATCAATTTACCCCCTGGCTAGGAATATACAGGGGTTGGCGATTCCACGTCAGCATTTCTCTGAAACCTACTGCCGGCTACTAATTTACGTCTAGCTACAGGTCTTCCCATAGTTCGCCTGGCGTATACAGCGTTTACAGTCACTGGTGTAACAGTCGGCAACAAACTATCCGTATGCGAAAACCATTCGGTATCCAAGTTTATCAGTCTCCAACTATTTAGGTATAGATTACCTACCTCGCTCCCACAGTACCATCCAACCGTATATATACATATATACACCTACATATAACAGCAAGAAGACAAGTAGTCCCAAAGAGGCGCGAGCGCGCTCTCTTAATAGGTCTATAAAGTATGCGCAACGTAGGAACACCCCGTATAATAAGCACTTAAATCTCACGGTAGTAAAGCGCCTAGTTAACTGCAGGGCTAATACAGTAAAAGCCGCGATTGCGTTTAACGGCTGCCCGAGTCCGAGAGCCGCGATTGATTGTTGTGGGAGAGTCGGGCCATGATAATTATTGTTATGAGAGGCGCCAGCGGGACGAGAGAGTGATCGCGAGTGAGTGAGAGAGAAAACAAGAGAAAGAACGGTAGAGACAATAACAGTTGCGGTTTCCGATAGACGCACTGGTGCGACGGAGAGGACCGATCGGCTCGCAGGAGGAGCGCGAGGGAGACGCAAAGGGCGCGGCGGCGGCGCCAGCGTGGGTCGTCCCGGCGGCACGACGCCTCGGCCAACGCTTACCAAGCGCAGACTCGCTCACTTACCCGCCAGCGAGACGTCACCTCTTGACCGCGCTTTAATCTCTTCCGATCGTTCGGAATCGTTCCCTTATCGATTTTTCACTTCGGACCGATCCGAACAGATTTTTCCGAAATTTTTTTTTTTCACTCATAATTCTCACACATGATTTTTTTTTCAGCTGATCAGGGATAAACCTATCATTCTGTATTTACCTATGACTGATACCAGTGAAAATTTTTTTTTTTAATTCTGTACAAATTTTTTTCGAATTTGTCACTTACGGTTTGTGACTTTTTTTAAATATATATATATATAACATCTCATGAGCCATGTGTTTGATGGTTTTACCAGATATCTCATATATACGCATATATTACCTGTGCCATTTTTCCTCATGGTTTTACCTGCCGGAGTCAGACTTTCCGAGAAGTCCGACCGATACGTCACTTCGGTACGATTGACACCAGGCACTTGTTCCGAGTACCACGTGTTACGTAAGATTATCAAAAGTACACGCTAACGCCGAATAAACAAACAACTGACCCACTGTGACGTAATCGATTGTTCGGGTAACGTTCGACGTAAAATTTACACGCCGATAGTGAAAATTTGACGGCACGATAACAGGCCGGGTGGATCGCACTGTTAGATAATCGCTCGGATATATTAGTATCATAGACGCAAGACACGTCTGGTACTTTATCAATGATAAGCTAATACATTGATGAATTAATCGATACGTACTTTTTCCAAGGTACAGCATCTGTCAAGTACGTTTTTTTTTTTATACTTGTACAGACTGAGGTAGTATATATATACATATTTGCTCAGCTGACTCGTAGCGGACACGTGTTAAATGTTGTTTTGCCAAATTGAATCTTAAAGCCGGCAAGACGTCATAAAAGAGCCCAAGTATCAACCTTACCCGATCTTAATTAACTGTCCAATCAATTACTCAGTTTTTTAACACTTTGAAATTATTGCTGGGATCGATTAATGTATAAAAATAAATTCAAAAAATTCTTATCACTCATCCTTATTACCCTGTATCTACCATGGGTCTCGTGACGTATGGCATACCGGTGCCCACCTATTATGACCTAAACATAGTTATCAACCCCAAACGATTATGGTAAAAGGTATGCGCCGTCATCGTGGAATTAATTGGAGCAAGGTCGTGACGTAAGAAATCCTAGCCTATACAAATGAAACCCGGTATATCAAAGGTTGCAATGTAATTTTCTGACCTCATCGATAACAAATCTATAGTCTTGATTCCCTTGTGAATTTCCTACCGGCTATTACGAGCTACGTAGTATATCCCATATATATATATATACTTTTACACCCACCTGAGGTGCCAGACAGGAACCTCGCACCTGCTACCTGTGGGATCATCCCAATTTCTTTTATTTCCTTTTTTTTACCCTTATATATATATATATCACCCGCCGTGAACTCACGGGAAAATCTAATATAAGGGTTCTTTTCAACAGCAACCTGTTCCCTCCTCAACCCCTATACCTGTTTACACTTTTAGTTTCACACCCCCCTAGACTCAACCCCTGGCAACAGGGGTACAAGAGTCCCAGTCAAAATTTTTTTTTTTTTCAAGTTGCCAATACTTGCTCCCCGAACGTACAGCCCTGCTTCGGTACACCTACTCATTAATTCAACGGGGCGAAGGGGTCTGACAAACGCTGCTCGACCTAACTGCACCCGATGACTTTTATTACGCACCCCGTTTCCGGATCGTCCCTCCTATCGCTTATGCATATCTGCATTAAATTACGCGGGCATTACGACATCACAAATGCCTCCCAGCTCGACACGAGAGAGGCAGTCATGTGCGCGTACGTTATTGGAATTAGCACCGTAGCCTGTCTCCCTCTTGCGCACTGCGCAGATAAGAAGCGCACCTGTGCAACGTAATGGCCAACCGGGTTTCCTCATTGCCCGTGTAAATCGCCGTCACGGTTTCGCTTCCTTCCGCCGGGGCACCAACGGAATTTCATGATAATTTCACGATCCGTATAAGCGATACTAAACAGCGCCTATAGTCGGTTGACGTTAGGTGTATACATATATACGTTATCCGTAAGTTTCCCGATGCCCACGGGCCTTAGGTTTTACATAGTTATCGCGATCCTGGTATACGGGGGCTTACACCAGCCGATTATCTATGGGAACGGACGCGAGCGCCCCGGTTTTTTTTTTTTTGGTTCGGTGAGAAAAAAATTTTATAAAATAATTTTCAAAATTTTTTTTACCTTCGTCGTATACCCTTTTATATTATAGCTGTTATCGCAATTTTTTTGCGTTTATATCGCTTGGAATTCTACGGTCACTTGGGATAATTACGTTATCGTTGTTCCTGTATGATACGTTAGGCTAGATATGCAGATATCCCAGGGTGCCTCGATACGGTTTTTATCAGTGACGGCTCAAACAATCCGAAGACCCCGCGATAACTCGTCGATCGCGTTATCAGGGATGTCCTCGCGAAATTTTTATTAGCGCCGTTTATCGTGCCTCACGCTTCGATTATGCCAATGGAAATAAGCCGGGCGACCGAGACACGCGTTGGCGCGTGATCGGCTCCCACGAAGAAATCATGACCCCAGGAGGTTTGGGCCTGGCGATGATCTTGCTCCTCGTGCCCGTTTTGGCGAGCACTGATTAGAGGCTGACTGATAAGAAATTGGGTCCGCGCGCACCGAAACGCTCGTTGATTACTTAATTGGAAGAACGTCTTATTCATTAATTTTTTTTTTATCAAAAAATCGATCGATTCAAAAAACTCTCTTATCGCGTGATAAATTGCGAAATAATTTTATGCGGAAAATTTGACTTTTTTTTTTTTTTAATATTATCACCTCCCACCCCCTTGCCGGCCGCGTACTGGTGAATTTGGAAAAAAAAAATTTTATCCTCTCCTATCGCTGCTCTGTTTCGCATTAACATTCCTCGTCGCGATAATAACTATTCCCACGTCTTACGCGCGAACGCGGTCAGTTTTGCGCAGCAGACGTTCGACATCTTCCGAGGCTAGATAACTGATAAGGCGCCTCCTCGACGCTCTAATTCTTTTCTACTCTCACGCAATACTCTCGGTCATACGCGTAATACACGGAAAATACGCAGTCGATATTAAATTACGGCAAACTCAAATTAACAATCGATCATCAATCGGCTGATCGTCATACAGGCCTGAGTGGCGTGCGCCATTTTTATTTTTCACATATATAGTTAATTAAAAAAAAAAAATTTATTCTAACCTAAAAACGTCTTTTGAACTTAGCACGTGTCGCAGTGACCATTTGGATTACAGGGTAATGACGTTTAACGACCCGGGGTACCTTCGTGCCCGCTTCTCTGATACCTTAAGGCCAGTTCACAGGGCATCCAATTACAATCAACACATAAAATAGACATTAAGCTTTACCCATAACTCATATGGAACATTGAAGCCAGCGGTAACGTCGTGGGTATCACACTTAGCGACGGTAGTCGCTTCAATGAAAGCTACGATAAAGCCCGGTACACACGAGTACCCGCATGCAAGCACTCGAGCTTATTACGTATATGAATCCGTGACTTGAAAGAAATGCGAAAGGGGGCTTTAGGGTGTCGCATCTAAAGGCTCCTTATCCTTTCTCCGGTTTTCATTGTTTTCTACCGCTGCCACAAATCATGCGTATAACATATATATATGCTGTGCGGCAAGAGTCGCGCCAGTGCGGCGACGTCGAATCGTGCTGGCACAGCTGGTGACCGTCGCCTCTTTCGCCCACTTCGTCGACGATAGTAGTACAGTCTCCATGTAATATATATATATATATATATATATAAACTCATGTACTATCACTCACACCGTCAACGACGGGATCTGTATAAACCCGCGACTCGACTCAACTCTGGCTGACTCGACCATCTGGCTAGCGCCATCCGTCGCCCTGCCCCCCTTCCGCCCCCGACCTCCAGCCGTCAGGCTGAAACCCCCT